AGGGGAGGGAATACTGTTAGATAGATAGAGATAAGTTTTGATTTGGGTGAAGAAAAAGGCAATGTACCAAATGTGAGTGATCAATATAGTGGCATTGAGGAAGAGAAAGACATAGAGAGGTACGTGGGAAGTATGACAACAAAGATGAACCTTTTTGCATATATAGTACGACATGGTCAGTGAAGGCAAACACGGGTATATGGGTGGATAGATGGGTGGACAGCTGAAATATTAAGTATGTATAGGAAGTGGAGAGTGCACCTAAGAACATGTATAGGGTTGGCAGACAGTGGTCCAATAACTTTATGTGTATGACCTGAATTCCCAGGTGTATAATGGGGCTGACAACGGACAAGGCTGTAGTCACTGCTTGGTCACAGCCAGCTACCCAGAGGGACCAAGTAGTTGAACCTGTGGGCTCAGGACCATAGTCACAGTGGACATCAAGCTCAATTGGCATAACATACTACACAAAACATTGTTCCATCTCCTATTGTGGCGAGTAGCGACTGAGATCTTAAAAGCTTGCAAGCTGCCATCTAGATGCAACGATGGGTCTCTCCTCATCCAGAGCCAAGAAGAATGAAGAAAACCAAAAATTCAGGGAAACAATTGGTCCTAGTGACTGGTACACCATCCAATCTGCAGCCTATACAACTATGAGACCAGAAGAAATAGATGGTGCTCGGCTACTACTGTCAACCAATTGGAAGAGGATTTTTGTAGGAGACCCCAGATAGACAGGGGGAACAATGTGGAACAAAACTCAAAATCATTTGGAAAAATAAAAAAAAGCAGGGTTTGCTGGCCCGAGGGAGGCTGGTGGAACCACTGAGACTATGGCCCCTAGCTGCCCTTCAGGTCTGGAATTGAATGCACACCTGTGGCTTCCAGCCAAGCAATAGACAGGCATATCAGTTGAGCATTTACCTGAAGTAGATACACTCCTTGGAGAGAACAAGCATGAGAGAAAGAAGGGCTGCTCAGGCAAAGGGAGACAGCTCAGGGGGTAGGAGTGCAGGAAGGGATGGACATAGGGAAGAGGTAACTAGCGGGAGGAAGTGGGAGGGGAGATGTTGCATTGTGCTAAATTGTGTCATATGACAAAGTGTATGTGAACTGCTGTATGGAAGGTGTATTTGCTCTGTAAATTTTCACCCAAATCACAATAATAATAATAATAAAAAGTAACATTAGACATGAGATCTGGTCACTATTAAAGTTAAATTGGTTAACCCTACATGACATGTTGTTGTTGTTGTTATGTGCCATCAAGTTGGACCTGACTCATAGTGACCCCTCCTTGGGTTTCCAAGGCAGTATCACTATGGAAGTAGGTTGCCCCATCTTCCTTCTGCCATCAGCCAGTAGACAGATGCAAATCAAAACAACAAGATATCACCTTGCCCCAGCACTAGCAGCACAGTTCAACAAGACAGAAAATAACAAAGGCTGGCAAGGATGTGGAGAGATTGGGACTCTCATACACTGCTGGTGGGACTGTAAAATGGTACAGCCCCTGTGGAAAGCAGTGTGGCAATTCCTTAGAAAGTCGGAATTAAAAATATCGTTTGATCCAGCCATTCCATTACTAGGTATATATCCTAAAGAAGTGAGAGCCATGACAAGAACAGACATATGGACACCCAAGTTCATCGCAGCACTATTTACAATAGCAAAAAGATGGAAACAACCTAGGTGTCTATCAACTGAGAAATGGATAACCAAACTATGGTACATACACACAATGGGATACTATGCAAACCTAGAGAATAACCTAGAATCTGCAAAACACCGCATAATGTGGAGGAACTTGGAGGACATTATGCTGAGTAAAATGTCAATCACAGAAGGACAAATATTGTATTAGTCCATTATTGTAAAAGTGAAGGAACGGTTTATATATGGAAGGAAATTTTCTTTGGTGGTTACCAGGGGTGGGAGGGAAGGGGAGGGAACACTGTTAGATAGGTAGAGATAAGTATTGATTTGAGTAAAGAGAAGGGTAATGTACCAAATGTGAGTGATCAACATGGTGGCATTGAAGAAGAGGAAGGCAGAGAGGTACATGGGAGGTGAAGACAACAAAGATGAACCCTTTTGCACATACAATACTGCATTCTCAGTGAAGGCAAACATTGATAAATGAGTGGATAGATGGGTGGACAGGCTGAACTATTAGGTATATCTGTGCAGCAGGGAGTGTACCCAAGACCGTGTATAGGGTTGGCAATGTTTCTACAAGTGTGTATATATATATGTGTGTGTGTGTGTGTGTGTGTGTGTGTGTGTGTGTATATATATATATATATATTTTTTTTTTTTTAAAGAATTCCCAGGTGTATAGTATTGCTGACAAGGGACAAGTTTTTAGTCACTTCTGGGTTATGGCCAGCTACCTAGAGGGAGTGAGTAGTTAAACCCGTGGGGTCAGGACGAGTTAGGATTAGGGGTGCCAACTGAGGTTGATGTCCCTGCGACTATGGTCTACATGACATACACTCATCCATAAACTTGAAAACTGTGGTTCAGAGCGCACTGATGAATGGGAACCATTGTTTCAGTGATGGGACAGATGAAATAGATTTCATTGGTCGAAGGGGCATTGGGAGTGGAAGAGTGGAAAGACTTAATTTTGTTCTATTTGAACACTTTTATGATATCTTAAAGAGGCCATATCTCTTGTCCAAAAAGTTATTCTCTCGGCTTTTCTAACCCACATTAATTTAAAAATAATCAGTATATTGAAAACACATGCTATTATTTTGAGATGTTATTTCAGTATAGAGATTTTAAAAATTTATTTTATCAACACTTAAGCCATTGCTCCTAGTACAAGAAGAACATGAAAGACATTTATAGGAATACTTGGCTTCCCCATCCACATTTTATTTGCCTTTTTTATGCTCACATGACTTCCACTCTTGATCAAAACTATAGTAAATACTCTGGAGAATTAGAAAAAGTTTATTTACTAATTTCATAAGAACTTATACCAACATTTTCCTAAATCACTAACTTTTAGGAGGTTACTTGCAAGGGCTGTAGTTCATATGCATAGCCACAAAACTCATGCACAAAAGGAGAGAATACTTCCTTTCCTTTAAAAACAAATCCTGGGAATCCCACAACTGATTTGTGAGATCTCTTGTCACTGGGGGCAAATTAGGCACAGTAAAGAAACACTAAAAAGCAGAGGACGTTTTGTTTTGTGTAAAATTCACAATTCTGGAATAAAATGAAGTCCTTTTGTGTATCACTAAGAACAGGGAGAGAACGCTTGACACATTCAATTAACACTCTTGTTTATATTCTTCTTTTTACGGGTCTGTATTTTTATGTAAAAAACAAATTTTCTGTTTTCAGTGACTAGTATATACTAAACTTTTGTTTAGAACAATATGTGACATATAGATTATTTCATTCTTTCAATTCATTGAAAATAATTAGAATTTTGGTAATATCATGCTGAGATTTGAGAGAACGAAAAAAACAGAGGAGACACAATTCCTGTCCAGAATAAATTCAACAAATGTCCTAAAATGCGATGGAATACTATAGAAGTATATTTACAAGATCTTGGATAATGTTTAGGAGTCAGAATAGTATAATTAATATAATTGAGAATACCATATTTTTACTCCTTACATAGAAAATGGTTGATTTTAACAGCACAAGGAAATAAACAACAAACTAAATTTAATGTCAAACAATTCGACTGTTCCAACAAAATGGCATTGATCGTTACAACTCGTTCATTAAAGGGTTCCTTTTTAGTATTAAAAAGATGACATTCAGGAAATTACTAGGGTACAATAAAATAATAAATATATATGAGTTTTCCTTTAATAATAATTGATCTATTGACATAGGGAAATGGCTCATTGGGTAAATATTTTGATCTACTTCACAAAAACCCATGTAATAAAATATCAAATAGGAAAATCTATTATTAAATATTTACTGAGTGCATGTAAAGTCTGTTTAAGTTTCCAAACACATTTTCCTAAAAAATTTCCTCTATAGTAGTATCCTTGGAAATAAATTTTGAGAAAAGTGAATAGCAAATCGGTTTTTTGAAAGAAGAGGGAAGAAATATTACCTAATAATAGCAACTTTACAGTTCTTGCATCTCGCTCAGCATCTTCCTGAAGCTTTTTCTCCAGTTCCTTTGATCTTTTGGCCGACTCCTTACTCTCTGAGCTAATTCCGCTCCCCATCTTGTTGTATTAGACACTCGTTCGTTTATTTGTGTGAACTTTTTTCAAATGTGAAGCGCAGCTCTGCTTTCTACGATACAAGGGCAATGTCATGCTAAAGTACCCATCTCATATTCTGCTTTGACTAAAGGGATGCTTTCTGATCTGTCACCTGATCAAGGGATAAAACTATACAACCCAATGGTAGCTGTAGAGGAAATTCATTATGCTTTCAAATCAAATGGCCACTTCTCTCATATCTTTTGAAAACTTGGTTCTCTCCATTAAAGAATAACACAGAATGATATAGGTGGTTGTGAAACATATTAGATTACGTGCAAAGAACAACTCAAATGGGATGGATGTTTCTTACTAATAGACAGTTGTATTGCTGTGATTAAAGGTTATTTTACTGATAAAAAATATTTTCATCTTGTTTTTAGTTGTTTGTCTTCTAATTTCTTACAATCACTTGTATATGAAAATCAGAATACTTATATTAAAATATCCAACACTTACATTTTTTTCTATACTTAAATTATAACTTAAGGTTATTGAAAATCTCTTAGTATCTGTGCATAAACTATTAATGGCCTTTTAAAAAATGTGGAAGCAAGTAAGTATAGCTCTTGTATTTGTATTTATAGTTTCATGCTGGAAGCATAGAATTAATCATATAACGCTTTTAAATTATTGATTTTAGTCTCATAGGATCCATTTCTATAAATTGAGCTTTTATTGCCTGTAAGAAAGTCAATCCATCAACATGAATAGAGGGTGCATTTGGTGTAGACCCTGAACTGTGCTCAATTTAGGTAGTGCATTAACTCTTTAGGGTCATTAAGCAAAAGTTGCCATGCTGGAAGGACTTTTATTGATTTAGCACCAAGGGAATAAAAAGCAATGTTCTTTGAAACAGTAGGTGATTTTGTTCTTTCTAAAAGGTAAGAGGAGTAAATACCTCTAAGTACACTACATCTTTTACATACCCCATTAGATATCATGTACTTTGACTATTTGTAGGCTTGAAGGCAGAGATTTTTTTTCTATTATTATTTATATGAAGCATAAAGAACTTAGAAGATATTCAATCAGTATTTTTGTTATAAACAGATTTACCTATGGTGGTAGGCAAGTCTTTCAAAGTGCATGTCGGGATTTGTGAATCTGCTTAACCAGAAAATGCTGGAATAGAGAGTCAGTCTGTCAATCTGTCAGTTCTGTTCTTCTTGTGGAATCATGTGTGAAGTTTGAACAGGTGGGTTTTTGCATATTCATATAGCAAGGAAATAGGCTTCCAGGTTAAACACATATTCCTGTTTTGTTTACTTTTTCACATAAGATTATTATGCTGCAGATACATAAGCATAGTCAAAACTTTTTGGATTTCATCCCTCCAAAGCCATGTTATGATAATATAAGGATGTCAAAGGATTGTATGCAAGGATTTATGCAAATTGTGTTATATTGCTTTTTACAATGCAAAGGACCTGTCCCAAAGGAATGAGACATCCACTGCCTAGTTTGTTTATACTTACCCAGGAACACAGAATCAACCTTGAAAGCAACATGAAAGAATACAAACATTAAAATAAATCTTGTTTTGCCTATTGTTCTCATATAGAAATCAAATACATGGTTCACTGAATAGTCAAGATTTTTGTGTGCTCCATAGCAAGATTGGCAACAGGATACTGAAGGTAATTTGCATTAAAGCAAATACATACTATAACTTTTTGTTGCGAGGAATATAGCCTGGCTTTGAAAGGGTATGTATTTTACTACCAAAAAAAAAAAAAAAAAAAACCAAACTCACTGCTGTCGAGTCAGATTCGACTCATAGCAACCCCTCCTTGGGTTTCTGAGGCAGTATAACTACAGAAGTAGATTGCCCAACTTTCCTTCTGAGGAGTGGCCAGTGGGTTTGGACCACCAGCCTTCTGGCTAGTAGTCAAATGCTTTAGGCACTACGCTACCAGAGCTCCGATGTATTTTACTAAGAGTTACTAAATGGGTTACTGACTAAAACTGACCAAGTCTTTGGGGAGTAGAAAAACTGTACACAGTCTCTTCATTGTGTACAAATTATGACCCTCCTCTGGTCTGTGTAGCCCAGAATGTTAAGTCCTCAACTTTCTGAGTTTATGGTGTTACATTTTTCTTTAGTGACAAAAATAATCTTGATATAAAATTCAAGATGTACTTGTACTTGGGGGAGGGTGTCAGAAGACAGCAAGGGAGAAGAGAAAGGTTTTGTTTTAGTCTTCTCCCTTGGGGACTTCAGGTACAGCATCACTGATTAGCTGGGGTTGTTAATAATGCTATTAGTCCATGTTACTCCACTTAGAGACATAGCTTTCTGGATCTAAGAAAATGATGAAATTCAAAGCACTACATTCCACTAAAGCAGGGACTATACCTTACCATTTTGAGTGTCTTCCACGTATTTGGCCCAGTGCTCATCATAGAAAATAGTAAATGATTTCTTTTGTGTGCTCTGCTGAGAAGGATATTATGCTTAGACTTTCTCTCCTACTTTACTGTCAACGGTGGTCTATCTCAGCACAATGGAAATTTTAGAATTGATTGAACAAGAAATGAAAAGTGCAATTTTTGTCTGAAATAATGCCAATACATACAATTGCAACTGATAATCCAACACTTACACTATTTTTCTCAGTCTTAAAAATAATGCTAGTGCACTGCCTTTCTACTGTTAAACCTCACTCCATAGTGAGAGAAAACTGATAGAAGATGACAACAGAAAAGGAAACCAATGTAGAAGTTTTTTAATGAGAAAAATATGGCCATGTTTTTGCTAGCTTATAAAATAAGAATTATAAAGCTTTTCAGTAAACACCAACATGATGTTGTGGTTGTTCTGCACCGTTGAGTCGGACCTGACTCTTAGCGACCCCTCCTTGGGTTTTCGAGGTGGTATCACTATGGTAGTAAATTGTCCAACCTTCTTTCCGAGGAGTGGCTGGTGGGCTTGAACCACCAGCCTTCGGGTTAGCAGTCAAGTGCCTTAGACACTACTATATATTGGCCTACTGAGAGAGACAGATTGCTCTGCATATACACACAAAGAGACACACAGAAATGTGCACATGTCCACAGACACACAGAAAGGAAGAGAGATTGTGTTGGAGCACTGTGATCTTTTAGAACAATCATTGAGAATGACTTTTTAAGTACATTGTGGATTTTTTTTTTTTTTTTTTGTATGGTAGCATTTGACTGAATAGGATTATCTTCTTTTTGGTACTGAATTGTGCAAGGCAGAAAATGGGTTTGGAGTCAAATACAGAGAATAAGGTCTCACCTCTCAGAGTCACTGAACTACCACAAGCCTGGAGGATGTACATAAGGTTTCTTCTTGCTATTTCCAGTTTGGGTTTCTACAGAAAGGTTTGAGTAATCAAAATTGTATGTTTTTAATTCATCAGCATGTAGCTTGAGGTGATGCTATTATTTGCCTCCTTCTTCAAATATTGAGATCTCAACCTACTTTGGAGAGATATCTCTTTTGACAGCATTACCTGTTACATAGTCATACAGCTGAGTTTCCCTTGGGGGTGTTATGTGCGACTGACTTCAATGAGTAACTTCTATTGAATGGAAATTGTCAAGACAGACTGCTACCTATATTATTCTTTATTTTGTTTCCATATCTTATAGGAGCTGTTGACTTCAGGCAATGGGTCCCTGGGTACTTTGAGTCCTGGGTGCCGTAGCAATGACCTTTATCCTCAGATATTCCCGTGAAATTTGAGGCAAACCATCCCTTCTTTGCTAATGGTGCTCAAATTTGTACTTCTGGGAGGCCTGAGCATGGTATTTCCTCCAGAGAGTTCATACCTTTTGGGGTTTCCTAAGAGCAGTCTTTTGATCTTGAGGGATTAGGAAAAAACTTGCTGTTTCCAATCAGCACATTAAGATGGTGCAATAGGTATATATTACCAGCTCTTATGTCTTGAGAGCTAATACAAATATGTATTTTTATATATTGGAGTTGATTTCTGCCTTTACTGGCACTACATAGTCTTTATGGATTAGGATATAGTAATGTGTAATGATTATTTGAAATAATAATAATAAAAAGTGTTAAAATCCTGATTGACAGACATAAAGGCAATCCAATGTTTTCCCACATAGTCTCTTCCTTTCCCAAATTCTCAGTTTGTTTGAGATTTTCGAAATATTTATATTTAAAACAACATTTCCATTGCTAACTCTCTTAAACTTATTCTTCAATAACTTCAGTCCAGATTGTTGCCTTGTTACTTGTCAGGCATAGAAGATTCAGCAGTAAACAAAGTAGTAACACATACCCGCCCTCATAGATTTTAATTTTAGTGTGTGTGTGTGTGTGTGTGTGTGTGTGTTGCGGGGGGAGCTCTGGCAGCCTAAGGCCAAAGGCATCTGACTGCCAACCAGAAGACTGACGGTTCAAACCCACCAGCCACTCCTCGGAATGAAGGTTGGGCAATCTACTTCCGTAGTGATACCGTCTTGCAAACCCAAGGAGGGTTCACTATGAGTTCGATCCAACTCAAGGGCAGTGAGTTTCGTTTTTTGGTTTTGGTGTATGTAGGGGTCTAATTAATATTTAGAGCAACAAATCAATAAGGTAGATATCTAAAGCACATAGAATTATTGTTGTTGTTGTTGTTATACGCGGTCAAGTCAGACCTGACTCTTAGCTACCCTTTCTTGGGTTTCTGAGGCAATATCACTACAGAAGTAGATTGCCCAACCTTCTTCCAAGGAGTAGCTGGTGGCTTTGAACCGCCAGCCTTCTGGTTAGCAGTCAAGTACCTTAGGCACATAGAATGATAGATGGTAAGAAATGCTAAGGGAGAGAAACAGGGAAAAGGAGTAAGGATGTTGGGGTACGCTAGGAATGGGAGATTAATGTTTTACAAATGTGTGCTTGGAGATTGCTAACCACTGACTCTTCCGAAGGCTTTCTCTCTCCCTGTGCTCTGGCTATAGCTACTACTCTCGTTCTCTTACTT